TTCAATAATATTTGAAATATTACAAATTTTTATAAGAAACTATACATAGGTGGAACACTATTTCTAAAAAAATGTAAAATGTTGAAAACGAAAACCTTCAGTATACCAATTATTTTAAGTACTGGCACATATTTTTTAATTTTGTAGTTTAACTTTATTGATTGCTTTTTAGATAATAAGTAGCTGATTATTCCTTATACAATATCATTTTTTACATTTCTATAAAAAATAAAATTATATATTTATTTACTGATCTTTGAGTCATATGTAAGCTATTGTATGCACTAATTTTACATCTTCAAGATTAAAAATAAATTTACGTTACCTGTACTTCCTCCTTTCTTTGATTTTCACTTTCTAAGAGAATTTTTTTAACTGAAAATGTGATACCACTCTGCATAGAGATCTTATTCTGTGAGCGAACAGATTTTTGTGAAACTGCAATATTACAGGAATTCTGTTGATTTTCTATGTTGTCTAATTTTTCACTTTCATTTTCACTCACTGTTGAATCAGGACCAATTGTAACTCTATCCACTATACCTTTTATACGAGAAGCTTTTTTCAAAGCAGATACTTTAAGGCATGCAAAATCAGAAGCGATATCGTTCATATCCTGCATCTGGTCAAAATACAAAAAATAAAATTTTAGACATATAAAGTTTATTTTAAATAATGCTATAGACTGATACTTACAATTTCGTCTTTAGTGCTTACGAAATGTGGCATTTTTATAAGCACGTTGTAAAAAATAGAATATTGCGTAATAGATTTTGAAAAATTAAATATTTACAAAAATTTACAACTGTTATTATAACCTATAAGTTTATTTTTGCTCACATGTATTCTACATATGTATAAAATCGGTGCTATAAATTCTCTCATATGACAACATTACAACAAAATTTGTATAAATATTATTTCACTATAGCAACATTTTTCATATTAATCGAAAATGTTTTACAGTACACATCACTCACCCTTCGATCGTACTACATACTATATGTATATGCGCAACACTATTCGAATTTGAATGATATTACTGACAATAAACTACTTACTTACTTGTCTAATGGCGCTGTTTACATTATTACGAAATATATTTCTCTGAAAAAATATTCTTAAATTACTTTCCAAATATAAATTTTATAATTGTAAAGAAATCTGTTCATCAAAACCGAAGTATATTTTATGTACATAATTCGATAAGAAACGATTGCAATGTATTATTCTATATTTTATACTGATATATAGATAAAATCAGAATATAGCGTAGAAATGATTCAAAATTTTTATAACTTTTAAAACTATTAAAAAGTGTAATAAGATGAACAAACACATTATTTTTTTCAAATATACGCAGTACTTCAAAATAATGTACAGAAAGTTTTTTATCTTATTAATTGTTTGATTACAATTAATTTGTGCATCACTCATAAAATATTTTCCTATCAACTCAGGCTTTATAAAAGACTTTATTATTTTACTACATGCTTAATACGAAGTATAAAATAGAAATATTATTTATACCATATTTATTATCGTATATATTCTTATGCTTATATATTAAACCGTCATATAATTATATTAGGTGATTGCAAAAGTTCGTGCTCGATTTTCAGAGGTGGCGGGAACCTTATAACACTTCGATACAGATGTTTGTTTTAGCATCATGTTACATTCCTATCGAAAGACACCGCTTGTGTTTTATTTTCAAATCGGGTACGAATTTTTGCAATCATCCAATAAATTAGTAAATAAATTATGAAATAAGAATGATTTAACTAAACTCTATGAATATAGTAATTTTTATAAAAATAATTATCAAACATATTTTTATCAATTATTAAGTCAATGTACGTATGTTTGAATACAAATATGCTTATTAACATGAACTATTTTTTAATCGTTTTAAAATGTAAAATTCTACAAAAATGAAAAAGTATGCCAAAAAAATTATTCTTGAATAAATTCCATTTTTGTAATTTAAAAAGTTGTGATTACATTACAAACAAAATAAGAAGAGTAAACTTAATGAAATAAAGTTTATATTCCTATTATACTTTGATACTGTTTTTTAATTCAATTTATATTTATTTGCAATGATGAAAATTTTGTGTACTACAATAAATCCTCAAATTAATATGTAGTATATAGTATTTTTCCAATGTTTTATTTACAATAATACAACAAAAGTTTATACATTAAAGTAAAACCGCAAATATTCGACATCGTATATCGTCCTATTTAATTTCAATGTTACTTGAAAATCGTAACATTTCTTAGGAAAATTAAATTAAAAATAAAATTAATCTTACTACTGTATAATCAAAATTGCTTCAAGATTTATAAAATCATAATTGTACTTTTATTCAATGAACACTAAAAATAATATAATTTACGTGTAAGGGTACGTGTACATTTGAGAGTAAAACTATCGCGAGTTGCTTACGAGACTAAAATTTATCAGTGAAACAGTATTAGGAGTACTTGCGGAGACCTGGATACAATTTGAGAATACTCTCAAAAATAACTATCGTAAAAAACTCTTAAATAGACACGTACTCTAAGAGTTATAAACACATTTGGTTTAAAAGGAACAAAACAGATATCATATACAGGGTAAGAAATTTAAATCAATCTCCGCGAAAATCTTCGATATTTCAGATAAAAGTTGAATGGTTTTGAGGGGGATATAATCTGATATGAGTATTCAGTTCTTTTGTAGGTGGACGCGTAGAAGGCAAATGAAGATCAAATTCATTTTTTTAAGTGGAATCACTTATTTTCAAATGCATTAATCGATGCAGCTCATCAGTGCCTATAAAAAAGTATTAAGTTATTTATGCCAAAAAGCCAAAAGTTTAGGAGATATTTTAATATTAATTAAATGACACTTAAGAGCTACATTAAACGTAGTTTCCCAATTGTTGGGCGTATTGACTTTGCACCGAAATCACCAGATCTATCAACGTTAGATTTTCTTTTTGTGGGGATATTTAAAAATCGAAGTTTATTAAGAAAAATGTACTACTCCGAACGACTTAAAACAGAGGATTCTTCAGGTATGTCAACAAATGCCTAAAGAAATGCTAGAAAGGGTTGATCGGTCACTTAGAGACCGAGTAAATCTCTGTATTCAGGCTGAAGGATGTATTTTTCAACATCAATTTGAGAAGGTAAATATTGAATTGCGAGTACGATTTCGCAATTTTTAAATTAAAATATCTCCCAAACTAATGGTTTATGGACATATATAACTTAATATTTTTTTACAGGGTATGACGAGCTGCATTAATTAATACATGAAAAAAATGATTCCATTAAAAAAAAAAAGAATGGACCTTCATATTATGTCCTCTACGCTTCTACCTACAAAAAGTTACATGCATTAAATTATGCCCCCCTTGAAACCATTCAACTTTTGTCTAAAACATTTTTCAGTATCATCAACGGTTTTGAAGATATTTACAGATATCAATTTAAATAACTGATCCTGTATACTATGTAATTAAATTATTAATCTTCAGACAGCGGATAGCGTGATAGTCATAGGCACGGCAGATGCTGTGTCAAATATGACCCAATACTTTTCTGTACACAAGTGAAACCACATTTTTCTTATTTTACTAAGCATTCTATTGTTTGAAATTATACAAATATATTATGATTAAAATAACAAATATATGTATAATATTAGGAGAGCAGAGTCGAAACTCTGTTTCGAATGCCGGTTGAAATAAGAAACATCTGAAAGCCGGGTCAGTGGTGACCCAGCATCCGCCGTCCGAAGCTGCTTTGCATCTAAGTGTATTTTATTTAGAATACAGCAGTGTGTACCTGAAATGAAATTTTCAAATTCTAATTATACAAAACAATAATTTACTTCATATACAAGAGTGATTGATTTGGCACATTTCAAGTTTGGTTTCCTATTGCGATCTATGAACTTTATCAAACAATGAATTCAGTTCTCTGTAAACTATAATTACTAATATTCTGAAATGTCGCTAACCTTAAATATTGGCTACTTTGCTGTTGTACATAAATTATTAAATATATACAATTTTGTAAAATATATTGTTGAAAATCTAGTACTATTTAATTAAATTTAAAAAGCATGATATTAAACTTTTGTAAGCCAAAAAGCACTGTACTTCTGTTTTTAAGTACTATTATCATAAAAGTAGTATATATTGATTAAACAATATCCTAAATAACATGGAATCTAATGAGTGATTTATATAAATTTAAGTAAATTGAAATATTTTCAGTTCATTTAACAAATAGTTTGAAGTAATTTCAGTTACATTATAATAAAAACATATGAAAGCTACTGTTAAAACACACTCAGTCTCTTAAATTCCATCATAATCATTATGTCATTTTAATATAGCATCGTTCCTAAATTTGTTATAATTACTAAAATTGGTTACTAACTACTTTTATGTGACATTAATACGTTCATAAAATAAAAGATATGGCGTGACACATAAAACCTCAATCAAGGATACATTTTCAACTACGTTATCCGAAGTATACAACCACTGATTGATTTTATTTCCTCGTCTATAGCAAACAAAATGTCCAGAATCAACAGGTCCACGATGTTCCACAATCGCACGCAATTTATACGTGTGTTTATCTTGTAGTGTTGTTCGATTAGTAAGCAACATCGTTGCTTCAGGATCTCCCTATTAATTGATATTGTATTTTAAATTTGATAAGTAACAATATATATTTATTATATGCACATAAAATGTACATATCCTACCCGTGCATTTCGCTTTCTTGTTTCTGTAAAAGTGTAAGGATCCAATGTTAAAATTTCTGGAAATTTAACTGGATCATCTCTCTTAATTGGTATCCCTGAAGAGCTCCATGTAGTTCTTGATATGTGTAAACATAAACATTTTGGAAGTTTGCCTAGAGTTAAGGTTTTCATAGCTAAACAACGCATTCCGCATCCATCGCATAATACATCCTGAACAATCTCACTGGTTACAAAACGTGTTAGAAGTTCTTCCAATGTATGATGAGATTTAATATATGAACCCAGAGGAGGCAGAGGCAGAGAAATTGTTTCAAGTTTATCATAACGAACAGCAGACTACAAAAAGTACTTTTATCTGTTTCACATAATAAAATGTAATGTATCACAATTAAAACGTAAAACAAACCTTCCATTTACAGCAATTGCATTGTAATTGACTAGTTAATAAGCCTGAAAATGGATGCACTTCCACTGATATCGATGGAGCATTAGAAAATGGCATAGCACATAAAGAGCTCCATGGTTTGAAAGATTCTTTATTCTCTCCAACATCAACATTTTTTGAAAGTACTTCTGAAGATCTAGCAAGGATCATACCTGGCTTATTGTACACCATAGGAATACTTGTTATGGATGCCATTGAAGATATTACATGATTATTGCAATTTCTATCAAAACCATTTGGAATGTTAGGATTTTTGTTAGCTGATACAATATCATTACAAGACACACTTCTAAATGTTAAGGGATCACCCAATTTTTTTGTATCTGTTACTATTGTTGAACTTTGTGGTAAAGCATCAGACAGGCAACATTTCTGAAATGATTGTTATAGATATATTTTATTTGTCAACATACATACTTATTTTAATAATTTAAAAATATACCATTTAAGTATTCTCTAAGAATTTTTACGTGTATTATACACATATATTATTAATATTAATTTAATAACTTTTCCTAGTAAACATACCCTATTACTAGGTTGAATTTCTGCCTGTAATGCACTAAGAACAATATGAAATAGTTCATGCACATCTTGGTGGCCAGGTGTAAATCTCCATTGGCTTCCTAATGATGAAATTATTTCAATTGGTGTTACATCACCATATAAATCCCCTGTATATCCATTCACTTCTAATTGAGAAAAAATTTACACAATTATATTTTATTTACATGTTTCAATTATATTAGCTGTTTCAACAAAAATTCATTGTACACAGTGTAGAAGTTAATAAATTCTTTATCTTTTTTTACAATAATAATATAGGTATATTAAAATTGTAAAATATCAAAAAATAAATTTTTTTAGCATTTATATCTTGTAACATATTACTATTACAACAGTAAAAAGTTATAATATTGAAATTTTATTTTTTTAAGTAAAAAAAACCATAATTAAAGTTTCTTTAAAAACAATAACATACTTTCAAAAACAGAGAGTAGAGTCGAAATGAAATTAATATTTCCACTTTTCTCATGTTGTTTCTTTAACCATCCAATAAAAATTGGACATGCAGCTAAAGCTTGTAAAAGAGAATTCAAAAAGCAAGTATATCCTAGATTATTGATTCCAATGACTTTTCCTAAAAAGACATAAAGTGTAATAACATATTTTTCTACCAAATTTTTAAATATTGAGCACATTTGTTTAATATACCTTTTTTTCTAGGTTTAGGAGAAGGTCCCCATAAAACGAATGCTGCAACGGCAATTGCGAATCCTACACTAGCAAATACAGCAACTTTTTCTACATCCATGTTTTCGGAATATTCGTTGACGCCTGGAATATTCTTAAAAAACTGCAAAAACTAACCTATACGTCAATGCAAGGAACAAATATATTTATTAATAAATATGCATATACTTTTCTTAAAGTAATTAATAATTTAAAGTACAAAATGTCAATTTTTTACTATTTTCATATTTTCATATTTTATTCGAAATTAGCTAGTTGAAAATTAGGTTTATGTACTTTGCTTAAAAGCTTTGAACAACTCATAGGCAGTAATAACCCAAAAGACTCATTCATTTATTATTTGCAAACTTAGTTCTTATTTTTAAATGCATTGATATAAAATTAATGTCCCTTTCTTAACAAAAAAATTGTTTTGTAAATCATAAACAATATACTTGTGTATTCAGTACTCTGATGCACAAACACTCGTTTGCTGTCATGAATACTAGTATAGATTTTTACGTAGGTTATGTAAATATTTTTATATTAACATTGAAATCGCATTTATAAACATACATTAATAGCTAATAAAATACTATTATAAGATGCCATTAAAGATAAATAGTTAAATTAAGATAAAGATAAAGATAAAGATAGTTAATTAAAGATAAAATGTTATGAATCTCATATACACACATAGTAAAGAAGAAACACGGTGTTGTATTATCCACGTTAAAAAATATTACGTAAAATCATTTCTTTAATAATATTGCTAAATCTAACTACGGATTGTATTAACAATACGATATAACTTTTAGTGCTTTTAATTTAATATTATAACGATTACATAAATTGTATAAAAAGTCTTTTCAAATGCGATTGTTAAAAATCGATCATCGATATCTCGATTACTCGAAGTTTAAAATTGTGTATACTTCAGTCAAATTCATTTGTGTTGTGTTCATTGCAAACAAAACAATATGGAGTGAAGTGTGGTTGACGTGTTTTCCTCTTCGATTTATTCTTAAAATTTATTGTTGCCTGACATCTAAATTTTGTTTTTCGGATTAAATTGAAATTGTATAATCGAACATTAATGTTTGTTTTGAAAATATCTATATAAACGTAGTAAATATATGTACGTATGACATATTATTGCGATATACATATGCACGCATACACACAGACCACATGCTTATACACACTGTTGGTAAATTAAAGTGAATGTGGAAGACTTGAAAATGTTCCCACGTTCTCGTTGCGCAAGTGTGTGTTGCGCGTGTGTGTGAAATTCTTTATCAAGAAGATGAACGTTCAAGGGCAAGAACACGGTCATGCAGTTGTTGTGTGGGAGTGGGAAAATCGTCACGGACGATGGAGGCCTTATAGTCCTGCAGTATCACAACATCTAGAAAGAGCACATTGCAAAAAACTTACTCGGGTCTTTCTTAATGATGCAGATCCAAATTTGGATAGGTTTGAATTTAAATATATTATTTTATATGTTTATTGGAATATTGCAATACTTATTCATTTAAACAATTTTGTTTCATATACATAAACAAACAAAAAATATTTTAGCAAAAACATAGCAATATTAAATTTATTATTAAGACTGTTATATAAATTAAAAAAGTTAAACTAAATGTATATAGCATTTAAGTTTAACTTCAATTCAGCTAAAGAATAATTTTTTTAATATTAGGTTGGTGTATATAAAATGTCGTTTTTTAAAATGAAACTTTAGATATATTCCATTTCTTCAAAAACCAATATATTTAATCAAAATAATTTCCACATGATTCTATATTCTTTTTTTAACGATTAACTAGTTTCATTATTCAAAATTTATAAAAATCTTTGAATTCAAAAATCCTTTGAATGCTGATTTTACAGTGTCTTCATTTTGAAATAATTTTTGTTAAAAAATTGTTCAGGTGTTTGAAAAAATGGTAGTATGCTAAGGAAAGGTTGAATAAATAAGAGTGACAATAATTTTTCTTAAAACATTATTATCAATGGCCCTATTTGGTCTGTCCCATGGCTAATTTTCCAATAAAAAGTCACCAACCTTGAATTTTGTATACCAATGCTAAAGTATCTTAACATAACCTTCTTCAAATATTAAGTTTATATTGTTTCCAAGTTTAAACTTATATAAAAAAATTACATGAATATCCTGATTATTCATCACATCAGATAATAATGTCCAAACAATTGTATTATGAACTTTTTTCACTATTAAATACACAAATTCCTTCTTGACTATTATGTATAAAAATTTATGATCAGACAAAATTTAATATGTGATATCAACCTGCCAATTTTAGCTGTTAAAAAACATTTCATTTGCACCAACCAAATACTTTGATTTCTTATTACTATTATCATATGTTAATGTGTACTAAAACTAAATTTTAAGCACTAAACAATTTTTATATTTTTTCTAGTTCTAATTGTTAATGTTAGCTACAGTGA